TATAGCACTTATGATGGCTTTTTAGCCGAAAGTGCTTTGCGATTTCATAATAAATTTTACAGGAAATACAAAATCTCTTCATTTTATTGATCAGTTACGTATATGCAGCTAGTAGAAATCTTCACCTTTTGTAATATATCTGAGGGTGAACTAAAAAGAGTAACAATACTGTACGATCTCAGCCCCCCTTGGCTTCTTCGAGCCGCACAGGATGTTCGGTCTGCTGCGTAAGCCCTTCCGCCGGAAGTCAGCGCCCTCGGTCTCAAGTGGGTCACACTGTATATAAAATTCATAGATATGAATAAAATCAATAGGGAGACCACTGATTTTCATCGTGAGCTCTAAAGCAAAAACGACTAGTAAATATAATTTTGAATTTTTTCATTCATACTATATAGGACGATAAAAAAAAGAATTATGTTCATTTCAAGACACCCAATTCCTGCGCCATTTGAAATGGTGTCAATTCATTGGCGTGACTTGTGTGACGTATTAGTCCCAACACGCCTATTGTCCTTGAGCTGACCAATCACACTGCAACACTGCATAATGGGAATGTACCAGAGAGATATAGCTATATACGACCACCGGGCCGGACTAATTATCTGGCTTCTTGAAATATCGAATGGAATATGCCGATTTCCAGACGTTTTTTGATTTCAAATGAAAAAGAATACAAATTCCAACATACGCCAACCATATATTAGAAGAAAACCATAGTTTTGATGATAATTTCGAAATTCTACACGTAGTAAATGAAGGAAAGAAACTCAATCATTCTGAATCATTAGAAATCAACAAACTCAAAAATTCTGACATTCTACTTAACGATCAATTACACCTCAATAGATCACCACTGTTGAATTTGTTCACATTTCATTAGATTTGAGACTTATGATTAGGGGAATTTATATGGCTCCCTAACAACCAAGAGACTCATTGTAAACTCACATTCTTGTCTAATTATGTAACAAACGGAATCAATCAATTTTGATGTTGAATGAGAAGTCGCTTAATACGTCTTGTGAGTTTCATTTGACATCATAATTTAAATCATAAAATGATCAAAAGGGTCGAGAATAGCAGTCATTGTGATTTCACTAGGACTCTCAATACGAGTCACGGATGTGATGTGTGGCATGAAAATGATGCCCTCTTATATCTTTGAGATCAATCCGTGTTAACTGGGACCTGACGAAGCTACTTTGTTTGCGAAACATGGCGTGTGCTCGAGAATTCTGTGGAAATCTTATCGTTTTTGGAGTTTTTACATTCGCCACGGATTTCCATCAAGTAACGGCCGAGTCAATTCAAATATTTATCCGTGTTTGGCATTTAGGATTGTCGGCGAATACTTTTGAATGATCGATAAATGAATCGCGGTATCTGTGAACTAAAAACAGTAGCAATATAAACTAGTCAACACTAATTTCGTCGCACACCAAAATGTCGCCCCTGTTATAATGTGAATAACTTTTTTCAGTTTAGAACAATTTGAATTTGGTTCACACTGTTCGATAGCCCAGTCCTTCAACTATAATCTGGTACTTCATTGAAACATAAGGGTATTCACATAAAATCTTTACATGGTGTTTTCCGACACTGTGCAAAATTTCGGAATATTCAAAAGGCTCTCAAATGGTGACGTCGTTCTCGAATCATAAACAGATTTTGATAGTTCCGATGCCGCATCTAACGCCCGACCAGTTGGAACTGATTCCGAAAATGAGGGAACAAGGGTTATCTTTCCTCCAAATCGCGGATCTGCTAAACACGACAGTCCGATCCATTCAAAGGGCTTATCTCCGACACGAATTGTTTGGTTATTACTGTCGATTCGTTCGGCGCATTACTGCGGCTGAAAACTTTACGTACCGTAAACCGGGGTAACTTTGTAATCTGGGTATTTCTTTGGGACATCTGGTATTTTTATAATACTGTCACATTCAAAAAATATTTGAGCAGTGAATATGGCAACTTTTGGTATTCAGTCTTGTTCATAAGAAGATGATAGGTAAAAAAAATGAGTTTGGCAACATTGCATTCGTTCTGTCAGAAACAGTGCATATTTGAATAAAACGGGTCTCGACACACGTTTTTTAAAGATCTGCAAACTAGGTATTGTGCAGCCGAAACAATTGAATCCACGTTATTTCTGGTGAGTACATCTTATTCATTTATGTTTTGGCTATGTTTTGACAATATAGCAAAACAAATTATCAACACTGAAAAAATATCATCTTTGTTTACATAAAAAATTGTAACATGTGGAGGTAACTTTGGTACATGTACCAAAGTTAGACAGCAGATGTCTGTTGTATAATCTAATTTATAGAACGTTGTGTACCAAAGTTGCACGTTTTCCAAAGTCCAAGTTTTCTACAACCGTTGTTTTTATCTTTCAGGAGTAATAAAATTCATGGAAAGCATATTCGTAGACATGGTAAGCCGAGGGTCTTCTCGGAAGATGAAGAAGAATCTTTCGCTGGACACTTAATTGCTTTATCTGCCTTCGGTTTTCCAATAACAGCTGAAGACTTGAGAGTTTCTGTTAAGTCTTACTTGGACAGGCAGGGAAGGAGAGTTCCTTGTTTCAAAAACAATTATCCAGATCCTGACTGGGTAGCATCATTTTTGAAGCGCAGGTCAGAACTCAGTCAAAGGTTCTCCCAAAATATTTCGCACGCACGAGCAGGAACAGACGAGGCTGTGATTAACCATTATTTTGATAATCTCCAGACTGAGCTGGAAAACTCTGCTGTCAAAATTGTACGAGCGTGGTGCTGAGAATCTCAAATCTGGATTCAGGAAATGCGGAATTTACCCTTTCAATAAGGAAATCGTTTTGAATAGGTTGCATGGAAATGTGGTTGCTGAGGACCCTGCAATACAAAAAGTTGTAGGCGAAAGCTTTCTGGGACATCTTGCCCAAACCCGTCATGAAACCACTGCACCTCGTATTCGTGGGAGTAAGAAACTCCAAGTGCCTCCTGGTAAAGGAATAACGGTTGCCGATCTACAGAATGCATCTTCCACCGAGCCTCTCATAGATTCGTCAGAGCCCTCCACTTCTGGAATCCAGAACAGGAGGAGCTCAAATGAGCATCTTGGCGTTTCAGATTCTGATGACAGCTTACCTGTGATCGAAAGGAAAAATCAGAAATCCAAAAGAATAAGAAATGATTCAGAGAGCTCAGATGATAGCATTCAGAGCGTCAAATATGCTGAAAGTGACGATAGCCTTTACAACCCCAAACTGTCCGATGATGATGTCAGTGTAGAACCAGTCAAGGAACCTGCATCTTCCATGAATAAAAAAAATTTGGAAATCACGTTTTGGTTACTTATGATGAGAAATATTATCCCGGACAGATCACGGAAATTCATAATCTTGGAGCAATTGTGAATGTTATGACACCCTATGGAAAGCAATGGAAATGGCCAACTCACAAAGACGAGATATTTTATAGCAATTAAGAAATAATAATGCCTATATAAACACCTGAACGTCGTGGTCATCGAGAAGTTTTCGATGTTCCAGAATTGAAAGATGTGGTTCAAAATTATGCCTTCTCATATGAATTTCAAAACAAATAATATCATGTTTTTTTATCATTATCTAGCGATTAAAGCTTCTTGAGAAATTTTGAATGGTGTTTTTTTCCCTAAAACATATAAAAAAATGCGAAAATATATTTTATGCTTGCTATTTCATTCTTATTCGATTTGCAATGTCTATCTTTGGAACACAGGCCCATAACTTCGAAATATTCGTCTGAAAAGCCAGTGTACCAAAGTTACCCCAACTGACGGGGTAAGATTGTGACACTTTCAAGGCCAAATATATCAAAGTACAATATAAATAAATTATGTTTCCGACCCAATTCATACTTGGGAATGTTGGTACATTGATATTCAGTGCTTAAAACCCAGTTATTTTTGCAAGATCAAGTTTTATTCAAGAAAAACATGAAAACTCGAACCAAAGTTACCCCGGTTTACGGTAATTGGCAAACTGTTCTCGTGAAACTTTCACCATTTTTGAAATGCGTTTTTACAATAAATAAACGTTGTTTGCTTGAATACTTCTCCATATTCTTAAATCGCATGTTATGTACGTGACAACTGTTGAAAAAATCACTTTATTGAAAACATGAAAATCCGTTGCTCTTGTTGGTACACCATTTATGATGAGCCTCAGCTGGTCGGGTTTGTCAGTCACTCATTGTGATTCTTGTAACGTTGGTTACGGCGGGCCATGCATTACAGAGGAGAAATGATCCAATGTTTTTGCAAGAACATGTTTCAATTGTGTTTTCTCACGCACAATTCTTGACTACTGAGAGCGAGGAAAATATGGACGCATCCAGAATGAATTGTTTTTCCGAGAACAAATTGATTTTCATTCAATTCTCCTCCCAACCAAGATTCGAAGAGCGTTCCAGATTTGGGTCACTTTCAAGAAAACTCTAGATCTTTGATAGCCATCTTGAGTCAATTCTGATATTCAGATCTCTTCATCTGAAGTTTTATCTTCAAAATAAGCCTGAGATTTCCAATATCGGTTGACGTGGAAAAAAGTTATGGCTGCAAAACCAAAAAGTTGATTTTTTGAGATCACTCTGTAAATAAGAGAGATAGGAAGTTGATTCGCGAAATATCTCGAGGTAATGAGATCATCTTCATGTTTCTGTTGTCGAAGTTGAGAAAAACATTTTTTTCACCATTTGAGAGCCTTTTTAATATTCCGAAATTTCGCACAGTGTCGGAAAACACCATGTAGAGATTTTATGTGAATACCCTTATGTTTCAATGAAGTACCAGATGATAGCTGAAGGACTAGGCTATCGAACAGTGTGAACTAAATTCAAATTGTACTAAACTGAAAAAAGTTATTCACATTATAACAGGGGCGACATTTTGGTGTGCGACGAAATTAGTGTTGAGTAGTTTAGAACGATCCCAGCCCCCTTGGATTGTTGTCTCTAATCCATTTGCAGGGCGACGCCGCGCCCTCTGCCGTCTCCAAAGCGGGCTTCTTCGAGCCGCACAGGATGTTCGGTCTGCTGCGTAAGCCCTTCCGCCGGAAGTCAGCGCCCTCGTCGCCCGTCGCCCCGCCGCGCTCCAGGGGCGGGGCGGGCAGGCGGGAGTCGGGGGCGGCCAGCGAGGGGGGCGATCCCGTAGGTTTGGCCGGGTTGTTTGACGTTTGACGGCATGGCCCTGATGCTTTTCAGCCTTGCGGCACAGAATTGTGCAAGTTACCATAAATTCTACAGGGTGAACTAGAGTCCAAATTTGGGTGATTGTAATCAACTTACCTCTATACGAAAATGCACCGTAGAGTAAGAAAGCGATGAAGAACAATTTTATTTCCAGATTTTCTTCAATATTTCGAAATGCTTGAAAGACACTGCTCTGAAGTTCGTTGACAGATTTACAATAGTTAATATATGTGCATGGAAAACATGTCGTACCAATTTAATGTACAGGGAGTTAGATATTTTGAATTCTCTTTAATAAAAATTGATGTAACTTTTTTGTAGTACGGCCCTGGCCATATTTCGTTTTTTATATTGAGATTTTTATTTTTATTTTATTTTATTTATTGAAAATGTGACTTCCAGTCAGAAATAAGTTCTAGTATAAGGAAGTATGGGTAGTTAAAAATTATACCTGAAACTATACAATTATAATCAACTCATAAATAATGTAATATTTGAATACATTAAGTATCAAATTTTGACAAATCATTTCATATTAGTTAGCAACAATCAATTTGAATATGAATCAAAAGTTGAAAAGAAAATCATCTATTTCGTTCAGAAATGATAAATTTTTTAAGTTCGTATTAGAATTTTATTTCTGCAATTTTTTATATTATCTAGTACCTAATTCATTATATCCGAAAAGAGCAGCGTGGGTGAATCTTTCTTGGCCCATAGAATAATTAGCGAAATCAAATTGAAATATACCATGTTGTCTAGTTTGATAATCATGTTTCGAGTTAAAATAAAATTGGATTTCGATCTTTTATTTATGTTATTGTATGTAATTTTCAATTTTGAACATTTCTTCTAATGAGAATGTTTCAGTTATTTTATATAATTGATTTGTTGGTGTATCATATGGTGAATGATACAGTACTTTCGATATCTCTTTATTTAGTACAGATATTTTATTAAAATCGTTTCTGAACAGTATCCTCAAAAAATTATCAAGTACTTAATATTATCTTCTAGATTTTTTTCCATTTCTTTACAATTTTCATTATTCTGTGTAGAGTTCATGATTTGGGAGATGGTCATTTGCAAATTTCAGTTCATACCAAAATTGTATTTCTGACTGGAAGCTATTTTCTCAATAAACAATAATTAACAATAAACAAGTATGGAGGAGCACCAGAATCAATTTTGATAGATATTTCGAAAACCTAGAAAAACTATTGAAACAATGCAGTTAGAAAAATGTGGGATAATTGATTTTGTAATTCATCCAAATTTTTAAATGTGGCCAGTGTCGTACTCCAGGAAAAGTTACATTAATTGTAATCAAAGAGAATGCTAAATACCTAACTCCCTGTATACTGATTGAATTGGTACATATTTTCCATACACATTCACTATAGTAAAATGCCCTACAAATTTCTGAGCAATACCTTTAGAAGATTTTGAATTGAAGAAAATTTGGAAATAAAATTGTTCTTCATGCATTTTCGTATAGAGGTAAGTTGGTTTCAATCGGCCTATTTTGTTCTGGGACACCTTGTATATACTCACCTAGAATGCCAATCCATACGGATACGCGAAAACAACATTGCACACTACAGATAGGTACGTGCACTTCTGAGTTTGCCCATTGCGACAGCATCGACGTCAAATCTGAAATGGTTTATGTCATGGAGGAGAGTATATAAAAGGTACATGAAATCTTCATCAATAACTCCAGGACAGTTATCAAGAAAATGTAAAATTATATGCACGATGAATATTTTGCTGGAAAATTCCACATAACAAACACTTCGTATCCACACAGTGACAATTGATATATCTTACTGGTTTTCAGAACATTTTCACAATTTTTATGCAGCATTATTTCATTTTTGTAATCTTTCTGTTGGGAAAATCTCAGCCTGATTTTTTCTGTATCTCTTGGTGAGTCAATTCAAATAACAATGTCTTCTTCTCGTCTTTTGAATATTCGTAGTATCCACGCTTTTCTCCTTCTTAATTTCAACTAGGAAGAAAATCTGCGAATATCTGGAAGTACTTCAGCCATATTTGTATTTTCATTTCCACACATGTTTATTAAAAACGAATAGTCATTCTTTACTTCCGGAAAGACTTCTGCTTCAGGTTCGACTTCTCTCTTACATTTATCGAAATTCCATTCATCTTCATTCAGTTTCAGAAAGTTTGGGTCATTCAACCAACGATTAGACTTCTCAAGATTGCATTAGAAATGTTCTCTTGTTGCATCATCCCCGACATTTTGGGCTGATGGTATCCAATACCAGTCAGAATGATGGCATGATTCCAAAATTTCACTCACCCTATGAGCACAAAGGGCTTGAAATTTCTAGCATCCATGCAGCGAAAATGTGTGAAATGAAGGGCATTGTCATAGCTGTCAAATGGAGTGCACAGGTCTGGTCTCGGTGGTCTGGGTCACAGTTCACACTAGTTAACAGAATTTTGTGCTCTGGTTAACGTTTTAACTGATTTATTTCATGAGTGAGATTTCATGTATATTGGAAACTACACATTTCTGTATGAATTCAAGATATTAAACGTCTGTATGTTGAACAAAAAACAGAATTTTGGAGGCCGGTCCTGACCTCATTTTCAATAACGCGGTATTATTGTTGCAAACTGCGCAAGCTCACTAGTGCACGTCCACGAAATCAATTTTGGTCGATAAATTTTCCATTCCATGTATTGGCATTCTAGGTGAGTATGCTTGGGAGTAGGTCATGATGTATGTTTCCAGGATCATTCAACTTATTTCAAAGTCACTTTTGTGATTGGTTAGAAATATTTTTGTCGATAATCTAGAACACTATATTATCGATTCTGTATTCCTGCTGTTGATTGGATATTGGCAACGGAGGTTGAGGCTTCCTCCTCAAGAATATACAAACATGAATATGCTAATACAGTGTGAACACTTTAGCTGGAATAAATTCGATAGCAGGGAGGAGAATATTTTTTTAAAAATTTACCTACATATCGAGAATATTAGATCGGGGGCCCACTACGTGCTTCATTTGTTCACACTCAGCAGTATAAGAACCACCCAAATTCCACCTTCCACTAAACGTTAATGAGGTCGCCGAATATAAATCGTGGACCAAAGGGTGGGGGCCGCGTATGTGGAGTTGTAAGGAATTCAAAATGATTTTGAAAATCATTAAACGATTCATAAGTATGGTGATAAATTGACAATATGAAATATTGACCAAACTCCTCAATTTTTCTCAAAGACACCAAGAAACTAAATGTTCACTTCAGAGGACGTTACGCACTACGTTATGCAAAATTAATACGAAATTATGATCACCCACCCAAAAAAAAAACTTGGAGACCGAATTTCGTGCGATAAACTTATTTTTTGCAGAAGTTATTTAAAGAAAATCAATTTCAACACCCTGTATTTCCGAAACGCAGCATTTCCGGACTCTAGTCTGTATAGATTTTTTGTTTTAGAATTGTCTCAGGAATTTGTATTTTCAATATTTCAAAGCACTCATTTGTTCACACTATAAACAGAAATAGCTAACAGTCGTTTGATCGGTTACATTCTCTGATTTAAAAAATTGTTTCTCATGAATCTACAGAATTTCAGAATTAAGGTTAACATTACTCCCACTTAAAAATTAATCAGAATAGAATGAAAATTTTCCGACTTGGCAACATCCAACAGCCTCTGACTCACCTCTGACCGCCTCTGACCAATGAAATCGTGTGAACTTTCACGAGACCAGCTCCGATCATAAACAAAGGGGAACAAACGATCAAAGCATTTTTGCATTTTGTAGTCTAATTTCTTGAAGATTTGTGCTTTAAATGATAAGTGAAGTGGGCTGCTAAAGTTAACTGCCAAAATTACCGAACCAATTAACTTAGGGTCCCGCAGTCAGTAAATTCAGTGAACGAAAAAAAAATAGGAAAAATCAATTGTGTAATAGCAATTTTTTTTTGTGGTAGAGGGAATAAGTCCATGAACAATATACTAAAAGTCCTAACCCGTGGGAGATGAGTGAGAGGTAGGGGAACGTGAGAAAATGACCATCAGTTTTCTCAAGTGATTATAAAAAATATCAGATTTTTCGTTTGAGTTTAGGCGTTGGGTGTGTTTGATATGAAATTTGAAAGTTGATGTCTTCTTGGAATTGGTATACAATTCTGGAAATATACATCACTATCTTTACTCAGCTTATACCTAACAACATAAATTATAACAATTTATGAAAATACAGCACATATGGCTACATTTGCAGTGATGGAGGAAAAGTGAAATATATGGATTAGAAGCTGATACATCGCTTTAATTTCTTTCTTAGTTTGACTCTCATAGAGGGTTATTACCTAATAGTTTCAAACAAAACTTTTTTGAGGTTAAATGTTCTAGTTCAAATTTCTTACTAAGCAAACACAACTTATTTTGCAGTGTTTCACCATATCCTGTATGTATCTAATAAAGAATATTCCAGCTTTTAATATTCACAGTGAAATACATTTTTTCGCATTTTTCAAATGCTTGCCGACTCTTATGTACTATTTTTTGTTAAGAATGATGAATAAACAGACCCTATATACTAACATATAAATCAAAAAAATCTCCTTAAAATTTGGAACCCTATCTAACTTTTAATGAATTTTACTACTAATTTGCTTGATGGTTTTCAAACATACATACTAACGTTCACGTAATTTCCATATAATTGTTAAGCAACAATTTATGGCATTTTGACCGAAGCTTTTTTTTCATCGACCTCATTTTCCATCCAGAATGATTTCTAACGAGGAAAAAAATGAAAATTCACTTCAACTCTTTCTGTATAGGTAGCTCTCACTACGAATAAGGCACTAGTAGACGAAGAATGGTTCCACGGTGTTCTACCGAGAGAAGAAGTCGTGAGGTTGCTGACTTCAGACGGAGACTTCTTGGTTAGAGAGACCACAAGGAACGACGAGTGTCAAACAGTGCTCTCAGTCTGTTGGGGAGGACACAAGCATTTCATAGTACAAACAACAAATGAGGTAAGTGAATAATGAAGTAGTTTCACTCCAGATATAAAGAATGTATTGGCAGTTCGTCCACCGATATCTCAGACATAACATACTACCTAGACAGCTAATGCTATAAGAGAAAAGTTTTACGAGATTAAACCGGGTTCCATTTTTTTTTTCATCATCTGGAGAACATGAAAGAGAATCCCTCTATCATCGTGCGTACGCTTCAAACCGAGAAACATACGTGATGCCAGATTTTGGCTGAAGAATGTTGCCATTCAATAATGAGCAAGAAACGGTCATCTCCAGGATTTAACTGATTCTTGCACCCAAGTGCTGTTCTGTCAACTCCCATTTCTTCATCAATATTCATCGAAAGTGACTGATTCTTGCACCGAAAATCTCGGAATAATTCTTTGCATAGGATGCATCGAAAACCCTTTTTTGGAGAAAAAGTGGAGTTGACCGATTTTTGCACCGGGCCCTTCAATTGATCCTTGTGGAACGCCGCAATTGATGGCTATATGTTATCAGACGATACTCCAACCCCCACCACATGGAGCGATCTGCCTGAGGTGGTAAGCCGTATGATCCTTGTTTGTGGCTAAGTACTTAGTGACAAACCCGGTCGAATGCTTTCGATATGTCTAACGACACAGCTAGAGATTCTCCACATTTTCTAATGGAGCTCCCCATATATGGGTAACGTAGGTAGGTAAATCCCCAGTTGATCTTCGGTGGCGAAAGCCATATTGTCTGTCATTTATGAATACTGAACTTTCCAGAAGTTTGATGAGCTCAATATTGATGGCTATCACTTCGGAATAACAGAAAACCACGCGATAGGTCTATAGTTGCTGATTACTGGTCAGGTCTTTTCTCCCCTTTCTGGGGATTGGGAAGATTCTAGCATAATGGAAATACACACTCGACTTGAAAGAGATGGTGAATTTGCATTTCCATCAGTACCGTTAGCCTTATTAATTTCAAGATCAAACAGAATGCTTCCGATATGGCTTTGGCGGAAGAAGATTTCGGGCATTTGACTTTTACCGGGAGGAATATCTGCAGGGGGTTTCTGTTTCACGATGTCGATTGTCGTACGATACGATGATGAACTCGAAGTCGAATTTATTTCCTATTCCATTTCTTGATCAAGTCGCGATCGAATTCGGAAATCGTCAGTTTTTCGGCGAAATGGGATAAGATTTAGATCCAATGAAATGAAACGAGCAAACGAGTACCGATTTTTTCAATCTCAAGACAAAAATAAAAATAATCTTTGGTAGAAGTCCAACATTTCTCAAAGTGGAGTGTAATTCTAATAATTAAATAAAGCTCAAAATCATCTCCATGACAGTTTACTATGTGAACAATGTCACATCAGGGCGAAAATGTTTTCGGACATACATATGTCCATCATCAGCCTATAAGAAATTAGTCCTACAAGAGACAAAAATGAGTGTTAAGTGAAATTTATGAAAAAAATTATAATTTTTTTCATTATTATCCCGGTGGCCCTAATGCTATGGGAACGGCTCGTGTTTGACCCACCATGAATTAATGCTGGGGTTTTATAAATTTTATTCACAACCATATATGTAATGTTGTCATTACTAACGTCATTGAAGGTTGGGAAGTGTCACATTACACACCTCTACTTCCCGCCCTTCACTACTTCCCACCCTCACTTCCCGCCCTCACTCATGTAATATTTCAGGTTTGTTCAGAACGAAACATAGATTTATTAATTTTGATCGAAATATGATGGTTGTAAGAATGTATGGTAAGAATTTCACTCATTTTTGTCTCTTGTAGGACTAATTTCTTATAGGCTGATGATGGACAGTATGTCCGAAAACATGTTCCCCCTGATGTGACATTGTTCACATAGTAAACTGTCGTGGAGATGATTTTGAATTTTATTCAGTTATTCAAAATAAAAATGTTACTAATTGTTCGAGATGGTATTTTAGAAGCTTAAGATAGACAAATAAATTTGGATCTAATTCGTCGACGCCAATAAATATGAAACAGAAGTACCTAACCCTTTTTCTTTACCTGAAAAAAGATTTATTGAACTATTTAGAATGAACAAAAGGGTCATTGGATAGGTCAAGGTATTAAGGGAATTACTACAGAATCTAAAATATTCTGTGCATTAAGGTGTTATGCAACTGGATCATACCAAAGATGCTACCTTATGCCATTTCTCAGGAGTTCATTCGTCAAGCCCCAATGAATTGACTTGACAGCCTGATACACAGTTCTATATTGATTTCACAATGATTAGACTCTGAAAATCGTCCTGTGGCCTTGTTCTGTGGTGTTCTAAAAATGTTATTAACATTTCCCAGAGGACATCTCCGAGTTTGAACGACGTCGAAAATGATCTATACATTATATTCATGAAGTAATTAGTTGATAACACACTTTTACATAAACAAGATGGTCTAACCTCAAATAGAGATGAAGATGAAAAGAGACATTCAATGATAGATAAGGATAATAATAATAATAATATAATAATAATAAATTTATTCATCTTTCTTGATCATACATATAGTTGATATAAGACATGTCAGGGGTAAAACGAAAAATATATATAAAACTGCTAGTATAATCATTACAAAAAACACATTAGCACATAAAATCAGTAAATATGTCATACACACACTTCTCTACTAAAAATTTTTTGAGACATCTTTTAAAAAGATTATGATCTTTGATTTCCTTTAAGGATGATGGGAGATGATTGAAAAAACTTATTCCATTATAGTGTGGACTGAGCTGATAGAGAGATGTTGAGTGTTTGGGGACACAGAATTTATCACCATATCTTGTAGAGTAATTATGGAAGTCATGGTTTTTAGAGAATTCCGATGAATTGCTTTTTGCATATAAAATGCATTTGTAGATATATATCGACGGCAATGTTAATATTTCATGCTGTTTAAAATGTTCCCTACAGGTTTGCTTGAAATTTAGATTGAAAATCAGTCTGATAATTCGTTTCTGTGCAATAAAAACTCTTTTCACATTTGGTACTTTATCCCACAGAACAATATTATATGATAGATGGGAGTATACAAGTGAATAGTAGACTAGGAGAAGTTGTTTGATATTGAATACAGCCTTGAGTTGTAGTATAGCATAGTATGCACAGTTTATTTTTTTACAAACAAAGTCGATGTTTGAGGCCCAACTTACATTACTGTCAAGCATTACACCTAGAAATTTCGTTACAACGGATGGAGGGATATCCCCTCTTTCTACTTTCACAGTGAAGTTATTTACTAACTTGTTCCTTGAAGAGAACTGCATGACCACAGTCTTAGTAGAGTTCACAATCAGAGAGTTTTTTCTGCACCACATAGTGAATTTTCCAGCTAATAGATTGAGCTTATGGACAAGTTCGGTGGATGATTCAGCATCTGCTGCCAGAGTGGTGTCATCAGCATACAGTATGGTATAATCAGCGTTTGTATGTAAAGGGAGGTCATTCACATATAACAGGAATATTAGAGGTCCTAAAATGGACCCTTGAGGAACACCTTGCTCAACATCTTTGAATTCAGACATGCTGTTCTCAATGTTCACACATATTTTCCTCATATTAAGATAGGAGGATAACCAGTTTAAAAAATTTCCCCTAAAACCCAGTGCATAGAGTTTACTTTCTATAATTGATATATCTATACAATCAAATGCTTTAGACAGGTCGAAAAATACATTCACAAAACGCATCAATTCCACTCCTCTTGATCTCCATCCTTCTCTTGAGCTATCGAGGAATCGAATCAAGTTTACAAGATTCATTCGAGAAACAGAATACCAAATATCGAAAAAAGATGGCAGATTCGACTCGATACGTCAAATAGAATCTCCCTGCTGGGCGGCAATCTTCCCTGATGATCTAAGGTGGAGTTTCTGTGAACATTTTTGCATAATGATTTCTCTTCCGATGTTGCTGCCAATGTGCTTTTGACTTTGGAAAGAGGTGGGAATGAACTGTTACTAATTAGTGAAATTCCTTCCGACTGCTTTATTGAGGGACCAAAATGAACGGGAACCAGCGAGACAATCTATGAGTATTGAATTTATTTTGTCATAGTATGCTTCTTCTAATACATATTTTGTTTGGCTACTGTTATCTCTGGCTTCAACATATTCTGTTCTAGTCACGAGGTCGAGGTTTTTGCGCTAACGATGGTGGCTGTTTGTTTCGAGCCAATAGCTCTAGAACAGTTCTTGGCACTTAGAACCTTTCATATATCTGAATCCTACTCCTGTTTCTGAACAAGTGACATAAGTCGATTTCATGAATGACATTTTGGATCCTTTAATGAGATTTTCGGATTACTGGGATATGGCATTTAGCGGTCTAGAACAGTAGGTTATGACAGTGGTATATGTTCAGTGAGACTATTCTTGTGCAGGGTCACTTTAGATTCGAAGGCCCAGCATTTCCTAGTATACAAGAACTAATCCTGTACCAGTATAACAGCGGTTCACCAGTGACGGGTCGATCTGGCGCCATCTTGCATAAACCTATTCCTCGTGAAAGGTGGGAACTCAACAACGATGACGTCATCCTCAACGACAAAATCGGAAGGGTAAGCAACATTGTTACAGGCTAGATTAGTTGAATGAAACTTTTTTCATGCGTTATTATTGGAGATACCACTGAAAATACCTTTTCACTGCGACTCCTGATTAGATGCAACGTTTAAATATTGATTTCTCTATGCAACTTTTCGAATTCGTAGAACCATCATCAATTAGTTTTTTTCGAATACAAAACTGATTGTGTTTAAAGATTTTGAAATATTTTTTCATCGTGAATAATGCAACCATGTATTATTCAGGGTGGTTCGCTAAACTCTCTGACAAAATGAAAGCAGCGAATCCTCTCTTATTTTTAAGACAAGAATGTAGAATAGGTTTTTTTTTTCAAATGTCGCTTAGTTTTGAAAATACAAATACAATATACGCTAAAATGTATTTCGTAATTCATTATTTCAATTTGAAATGGAATAATTTGAAATTAAAATCACTATTTTGAAATACAATTGACTCATTCTGATATTGAATTGATAATTTTGAAATACCTACATTCTGAAATTCGATTGATAATTGTGAAATACATTTGATACTTTTTTAAATTGAAATGACTGATTTGAAATACAATTGATACTTTTTGAAATCAACTTGGCGCTTTTTGAGCTAAAATTGGAAATGGTGTAGGCATAGTGATCGAAATAACAAAATTTGATTACTGTTGAAAATATTCCAGGGTAATTTTGGGGATGTATACAGAGCGCAACTGAAAAACAGCAACGATATGGTGGCCGTCAAAACTTGTAGGGTGACTCTACCAGAAGACCACAAGAAGAAATTCCTTCAAGAGGGTAGGATATTGAAGCAGTACGATCATCCGAACATCGTGAAGTTGATTGGCATTTGTGTACAGAAGCAGCCAATCATGATTGTGATGGAATTAGTACCGGGTAAGTTGAATATCGTCTGAAACATTTTTTCATGTAATACTCAATTGTTTAGGATCATGAGAAATTACTGTGAAGAAATTTTCATATTCTCTTCCAGGTTGAAAAATAACAGAAGAGGAATAGAATTGAGAATTAAGACCAGAAATTTTCAAAATATCTCGAATAGTTAATAACTTTCCTTTCTCTTCCAAAAATACAAGTTTCACCGTTTTTATATCATAGACACCCTTGTCCACAGTGTATAGTTTTTCGATTCACCTCCAAATTATCATTATAACCGTTTTTATATCATAGACATCCTTGTACACAGTGTATAGTTTTTTGATTCACCTCCAAATTGTCATTATAAAGCATTCATATCTCCTTGACTCAAAAGTTGTTGTAAATAGGCACATCGAGTTATCTATCAGGCAGATAGCTCCATGTGGTGGTGGACGGTGTATTGTCTCATACCATTGCCATCAATTCAGGCGTTCCACAAGAATCAATTTCATTTCATTTCAACGATCTATTGGGAGCAACCACTTTGCAGACGATAGTACTCTCCATACTGCGTTCTCTTCTAGAATCCCCTTTTTTTATTGCATGGAGCGCACGAAAGGGAATCCCTATAATGTTCAAAAAACATCGTGCTTTCCTAGGGAGGATAGGGATAGGAGGTAGGTATTGGAAGTTTTTTGAACTTCTGGAGATTATATGTTGTTGGGAATACTTCCTCAGGCAATGGATTCCGGAGCCTAGCCGTTCTATGGATGAAGGAGTTTTGATAAAGTGCTGTTCGACATCTTTCCAGGTTGACAACGAAAGGATGTGCTGACTGGGCTTCTCTAGTTCGTCTGACTGGTATTGCTAGTGAAGGAATGATAGCAGAGATTTCCGAAGAACATTTCCCGTGGAAGTATCGATAGAAAAGTGAAAGGTCGCCGACCTTTCTACGGTGTTCCAATGATGTCAAAGAGGAAACTAAGTACTAACGACGAAGGCAAGCCAACGCTGACAATAAAGATCATGCGGAAATTACAGCCTGGAGAGCCATCAACCTAGTTGAATTCAACGCTCGCTACCAAAACTCAAGCTGTATTTCCTCTAACAATGTCTGGAACCACCATTCCCACCAATACCACTATATCTATCCTTGGTATTACCATCAGCAATACTCTCTCATGGGAACATCAAGTCCGATCCGTCGAAACCAAACCTCGGATTCTTTTTCCGTGCGAAAATCTACTTCACACCTTGACAGCTCCATATGATTTACAAAGCACCGATTCGGCCATTTTCAGCTTACTGTTCTCATGCATGGGGTTCAGCGCCCAAACATATGCTGATGCTCTTAGATATTCCATCCAGAGAAGAGCTATTCGCCTGGTGGGTGACGCTACACTCACCAACTCTTTGATCGCATTAGAACACCGTAGAAGAGTCGGCGACCTTTCACTTTTCGAAAGATACTTCCGCTGGAATTGTTCCTCAGAAATCTCTGCTATAAATACATCACTAGCAATACCAGTCAGACGAACTCGACAGGCCCAGTCAGCACATTTCTTCGTCGGTAACCTTGCAAATTTTCGATTCAACACTCGAAGTTTTGGAATTCTTTGCCAATGGAAGTATTTTCAAGAACTTATAACCCCCAAAAGTTCAGAAAAACACCTACCTCCTCACCCTATCCTCCCTAGGTACGCACTATGTTCCGAAACATTATATGAGTTTCCTTTCGTGAGCTCCAAGTGATAAAAAACATATACAGGGTGAGTCATTAGTGTGGCAAAGTGAGATAACGGCTTTACTGTTTGAGATAGATGAACACAAATTTCAGAGATGACCTAGGATCATGAGCAGCACATTTCCAAATCATTTCGCTTTATACAGGGTGACTCAGAAATGCGTGGAGTATCAAAGTTATACTTTTTCTTATGGGACACCCTATATTTCATTGCACTTTCGCATTCTCCTTTGTTAGTTGATTTCATCAATGAAACTTGGGGTCTAGCGAGAATGATTTTACAGAGATAAAGGGTGTTCAAAATCGAGATTTTTCAACTTTAGGATTTTTTTGCGTCGAAACTATTCATTATTGGTCAAAATGGCTTTCATGTCCCTATTCCAACTCTCGATTTACTATCTACTGACATTTAATTGGAACAGATACAAGGGTGATCAGAATAGTGAATCTTGAACCACCATATGTATTTGGGTGATCAGAATAGTGAATCTTGAACCACCATGTATTTGTTCCAATTAAATGTCAGTAGATAGTGAATCAGAAGTTGGGATAGGGACATGAAAGCCGTTTTGACCAATAATGAATAGTTTCGACGCAAAAAAATTCTTAAGTTGAAAAATCTCGATTTTGAACAACCTATACCTCTGTAATCATTCTTGCTAGACCCCAAGTGTGATGCATTGATGAAATCAGCTCACAAGGGAGAATGGTAAAATGCAATGAAATACAGGATGTCCTATAAGAAAAAGTATAACTTTGATACTCCACGCATTTCTGAGTCGCCCTGTATGAAGCGAAATAATTTGGAAATGTGCTGCTTATGATCCTAGATCATTCCTGGAATTTTTGTTCATCTATCTCAAACAGTAAGGCCGTTATCTCACCTTGCCACACTAATGACTCACCATGTATAGATGTAGAATATAGTAGTTTTTTCAGTTAATTTTTCAAATTACTCCTCGTTTCTGTGAAAAAAAATGAGTATTATTTAATAATAATAATTATAATGTTTATTTCGACAGAATCAGAATACAATGGGAGAAATCATGATAGCAAGTTAACATTAGGTAAATAAACATTAAAAAACCCAAAGAAGCAGCAAATGCTGCTTGTACGTGGTGAAAAAGTTTGAATTTCGTTTGACGAGCTATTATTGAAAATACTAAGATTAATAATTTTGGAATATGAAACTAAGTAGGTAGAAAAATTCAAGAGTGTAAAATATTTATATACAAAATAATCAAAATGGATAGATATAAAAATAAATGATATGAAAGAACTTCGGTGTTAAACAATCACAAAAACTTCGGAGACGTATATATGTATATGGAATTACTGACAATACTAACAATAATAATTTCGGAATATAAATCTTCGTACAAAAATTCAAGAGTGTAAAAACTTATATCCAAACTGACCAAAATGAATAGATATAAAAATGAGTGAATTAACTCAGGAGTCAAGTCAATCAATCACAAACTTCGGAGGCGTATTTATAAAAAAAACAAAAAAAAATCACATGAGGTTTAGATAAAATCCAGAAGTTAAAAGAAGCATAAATTTTAGAAACTTGTAAAGATAAAACACACATTTGCTTATCGTAGAGTTACTGGATGGTATTAGTAGATAAGAGTTCAGACACAACTGAACTTCAATCCTTTTCAACTTTCTAAATCACTATGCTTGAGTGAATAAATGAATAAGACATATATTCTGATCTTTGTCTTCTAAATTTCCCTGATAGATATTTTTTAGAGGTTACATTTTCTGTCAAATCAATCAGAGCCATACATGGAAAATAGAATTAGGGTATTAACACCCACTTCATGGCACTTTTCGCAGAACAACAGTTATAAAATTGAGAAGAATGCATGTAACAACATTTTAATATTACAAAATAGACACATATGGATATACCTATAGCTAGTTCGGTCGGTATGGAAAACGCCATTCAATGACATACAGGGAGTCCAAGATAAGGATGTCTATCACGGGGTATAATAGATGGTGATAGTTTCTCCGAATCGAAATGTCGTAGGGAAAATGAAAATGTATCAATGCTATTTTGTAGAACCTCAAAAATGGGAGTAATAAAAACGATTCCCATGATATATATTCTTATCTTGGACACATTGTATACCATGTTGCAATTTACTTGATATCGCCAGTTTCGTTCTCAAATCAATTTCATTACGTAGATTTGCATTCAATTTCTCTTTCTCCATAATAATTTTGTTTTGCATTTCGTGTGATGATGATAATAGATTTTTTTTAAAAAGTCTGTTTTGTAGATGGATGGATCAAACGGATCTTGAAATATTCTGTTAAAAAATATGCCTAAAATATTGTTTCATTCTAATGTGCTGTTATAAAATGTAAATTTTGATGTACCTACCTCACAAATTCTGCTTCTCTTACAATTAATTTCCCATCCAGGCCGTTTCATACATTCCTTCCATACGAGAATGGTTGATACTTCCTTTGGAAACATGAATAAATGAAATCCATTTTCTTCAGAATTCCCACAATTCATTACACAGCAGCATATAGTTTATGAAATTATATTTCAATGTTGACGTTCATGAAATGTATTGTCAAATTCAAATAATCGTGAAAGGAAAATCGCAGTACGACTATGGTGCTCTTGTCACAATGCGAGGTGTGTAACTCAAAAAATATCAACATTCAAAAACACTAACAGTTGTCGTTTCTGTATCCGAACTGTTCTCTAACTAATACCTTCCAGTGACTCTAGTTTACTGGTGTGAAAATAGAAACGGACGCCGTGCCAGAAACGAAATAATATGGAAAAACGATTTTTTATAAATGGAACTACACCTGGCCGTGATTACATTTTGGGCTCACGGAACAGGTAGGCCTTTGTATTTTCAACTACGCATATCACTTATATTTTATTTTTGGGTGATAAATTGATATTCATCATACAGGACGTGGAGAGAAACTCTGAATTGAGAAAACCTAATGGAATCTGCGATTAAAGGTCTATAAAAATAAAAAGTTTTCATCGTTCAAGTTTGAACCCCTTGATTGGGTGAAAGTATTGAAAAGGAATATTCTCAGATGAAATCACGAACAATAAAAAATGGATATACAGAAAAGTGCACAAAAAACAGCCTGTGCTGTATCTTCTGAATAATTCTAGATCGGATTTCGAAAATTGATGTGTAGCAATATACCAAATTGTTCATTAATTGACAAAACAATGTTTGTTCAATCACCTACGGTCTCACCAGAATCGACCCTAACTTTTAAT